CGTCGATTCTAGCATCACCAGACCAGAATACAATTTTCTTCTTGTTTTTTTTAAGTCACCGGCGTGCCACGCGTTTCTAGTTGTGCCGAAACAACGTGGAGCTATTTTTTTGTTCAGAAGAAGTCTCCATTATAACAAAACCTTCCCTGCCCAGGATTCGAATTAGGCCCCTGAAGCTTAAATCCCACCTTTTGCCATAAGCCTCCGAAGTATTCGGTCCGGCTTTCATTATCGAAAAGAGGATGGCTAGGAGCTGCAACCGCGATAAGGCTTATACTGCCTATGGCTAACAGCTTGTTATTCCCATGTTAATACAGTCAAAATGTTTCGCTATACCGTATCAGACTAAGGCCAAGTTAACACATACCTGAGGGCTGTTAGGCAGCTGTCGAAAATGTTCGCAAAGACATGGCTGCATGGGTTTAAAGAAATCGGGCACACTGAGTTGTGCTGAAGGTTCATAGGAAATGGCCTGGCTTAAACTCTGAAATGAAAGCGTAGACCGATTATGGGTGTGTCAGAATCAAGACCAGCAACTTTAACCAGCTGCGTGATAAACCATTTGATCTACAGCTAAAGCAATTAATCGCTCTGAACTGAGCAATTAACGAGCTGCGCATCAAATGGAGATCGGTAAACAAGAAAGGATAAAAGTTTGTGCTCGCTAGTAGCGTGTAGTTCCAAAATGTCGAGTGTTTAACGGAAATCACACGCAAAGTGCTGGCATTACGGTCAAAAGGCAATTTCAACAGGGCAAAGTAATTTTTCTAAGCGCCCATAGTGCATTTAAATAGAATAAACCGCAGCATCTTTCGGAGGTTAACTGGAATCCTATTAATACGGAAACATCGAAACCCGCAAGCTCGACAATGAAAGTATTAGGTAATTGCCACACTAGAAAGAGATTTCAATTATGACAAAGTCATGTAAAAGAGATATTCAAACAAAAATCATTTTATCAGTAAGGAAGACACTGATCTGCTTGTGTTTTGGTGCTATCATACTATGCATAAAAGCATTTCATTTTACTTCCGACTATTTTGCTTTTCACCGTAATGTTCTAATTTCAACTCTTCTCATACAAGTCATGAAGCATTTATTGCATTATGGCTCGTCTTTCAAGATGATATTATCCAGAACAATTTCGATATTTCCAATGAGTAGTTCGCTACATTTAAATGAAGAATGATCTGAATCAAGCTCTGAAATCAAGAGGTTCGCGCGTATGCTAACTTAGTTTCTACATTGTTTCACTAATAAATGATGTTTAAACTATTAAGTAGT